TGTACGCTCCTGCCTTAGTTCTCACTCACCAGCATCATCTCTAGAGAAGAGTCGCCTTGCCAGGATTTCCTTTTTTGTTGATGTATCTAGATTCATCAAGCATCTTTTAGAACCTCCAAAAGGCGCGCTGTGGTCTCACACCAGGTTACTTTCCTCCTGGGAGCTGGAAGTAACTGATGTGCCGGCCCACGCCACCTGCTGGCCAGCCCTGGAAGTACACCTTCAACGCTTTCAGTTCCCAGAAGAAATGCTCGCGTCTGCCCCCCTCCACAAGTTCTGGAACCTCCTTTGTGGCGGTGCCGCTTCATCCTTTACTCACTTCCCCTACCTAGGCCAGGTTTCCTGAAAGGCAGCACCCTCAAACATCAAGCTTTCAAGACTCAGCTTGACTTTGCAAGATTCTGCAGACTCTGAGGTGGCCATCCTTCACTGGGAGCTGGGGTGTGCCCGCTGACACCACTATCCTAGCAGCCAGTTGACACATCTCAGACTCCCAGGTATCCCGGCTTCTGACCTCCAAACCAGAGAACCAGGCTCCATGCAGAACCTCCCCGTCTGGACCCTCCCCCTCTCCCACTGTCACTCCCCGATGGTCTAGACTGCCTGACAGTGGCACTCCTTCTAAGCAGTTGTGCCCTCCTCTGTCACAGTGTCCCTCGGTTCTGAGGACAGGTGAAATCTGTGCACCCTCTGACTGGCCTGAGGGCTGAAGCATCAGGCCTGCTGCCCGAAAGCACAGAGGATGGAAGGGGTCTTAAGTCATCTCATTTGTCCAGGCTCTTTGGCAGAACCTGTCTGCCCCCTCAGTCACACAGGTAGCCACACAGGAGCCTGGCACCTCGGCCACCTCAGCCCCCTGATGCCCCACTATGCCCTTCTGCCTCTGGGCAGAGCAGACTCTCCATAGCAGAGCAGAGCTTGGCCTGGTTCTAGGGGTAGCAGAACTAACAAATCCGCCCTTCTGTCCCGGCTCTTTCTCAGATGTCAGCACAAAGCACGCTTACCCCTGGGTTCCCACTGGGCATGAGGGTCATCCACTCAGCTTGTCAACTAGGTGGTCGTTGACAGGTCTGGCTTAGAGGCAGCGACTAATCACTGCATCACAGGCCTCAGCCCCTTCCATCAATAGATTTGGAGTCCCGGTCCCGGGGTTCCCAGGTCGTGGGTACACCTCTACGCAGTCTTCTGGCTCCCTCTCCTCCTTCCCTGCCTATACTGTGTGCCCACTGTACCGCCGCCCACCGCCGTCAGCTTTGAAGTTCATCGTGTGGACAGGGAAGAAGCCATGGGCCTGCTTAAGTGCTGCCACCATCTCATTGTGACCCCGATGTTCGCTGAGCTTTTCTGGAATCCAGTTACTGGAGGGGGTGACTCTGCCTAGCCCAGGCCTCTTTCTAGCTCCAGAATTCTGAACTCTTACGCCCACCTCACCTGCCCTCTTTGTCACCGTGATCCCCTCACAAAGTCCCCATCTGCCTGCATCATCCCCTTGGCGTGGCGGAACGTTAAGGCCGCAGGCGAAGTCCTCGCCTTTTACGAACTGCACGTTCAGCAGGGCTCCGTGCCTCTGGCAGACGGGGTGTGGCCAGTCGAGGCAGCCACTGGCAAAACCCAGCCCTCTCCAGCTTGCCCTTCCTCTGTGCATTTCACTGTGCACAACAGTACCACAGGGTAAGTTTTTAGATGTTTTTACTTTAGAAAAGGGTATTCTTATTGATCGATACCACTATATAGCCTTCCTTGAAGTCTTATTTTTGCAAAGTAATGAGCTCATCATAAAAATCCATTTGTAAATTATCAGAACTGTCCACTTACTAACCACAGGCATTTGTCCCCAGCCCTCTCTCGTGACTTCTGCCTTCGCCTGAGCCCCCTCCCTCTCTGCTCCCCTCCAAGATTTGTGGTGAGGCCTCAAGTCCTGCAGGACTTGCCCCTCCAAATAACCACCCATTCCTGGCTGCAACCTTTGCGTGCTCCAGCTGAAATGGCTGAAGGGGGCTAAAGATTTGCGTGTTGCTGTCCTAGTCATGGCATCCCTTTCTCTAGGACCAGCGGGATATTGAGATTGCCACCCTAGCCACATAGGGTGGGGACTGCTGCAAAACCCCAAAGAGGAAGGGACAGGTGGGGGGTGAAGGGTCAGGAGAGCCAACACAGGCTCAACACCTGCCCTTGGAGCCCCGGTGTGTGTGCATAAGCCTGAGTCAGGCAGCAGGAGCAGCCCCCCGGGAAGGCTTCTGTCCCCGGTGAGAGAGCAGTGCAGGGCTGAGGAAGGGTCTGCTTCTGTGAGAGACCCACCTGGTGTCTGTCCACGTGACCTAGAAATTCCTTATTCTATCCCCAGCCTCACCTTATCCCTCCCCCCCTCAAAGAGTTGGCTGTCCACCCTCAAGGGCTGAAGAAAGGATCGGCCCCCAAAGCCCCTATCCCATTTCCTGCACCCACCCTCATCCTGTCGTCTTTCTCATCTGCGCCCCATCTGTGCTCTCATCCCAGGGAGGGCCCCAGCCTGAGCAGCAGCCCCCAACACTTCTGTCTCCTACCCTGACTCTTGGCTCTTCCTCAGGCCCCAGCCCAGAGGGGAGAGGGGTCAGGGCATATTTTAATCCGATGTGAACAGACCAGAGCATAGGAGAAACCTTTGCATACTTTGGAAAACCCCCATTTCCAGAGCCAGTCTGTGACCTGCCATAAAACGTTCAGTGGCGCTGGCCGTCGCCTCTGAATGTCAGAGGGTGTGGGCCAGGCACCCATAAGAGGAACCCGAAGAAACGTGACAAAGTTGGAAGGTAATTCTGGCAAAATCCATCTTTATTTTCAGAGGACAGTTCCAGAAGCAAGGAAAATGGAAGCGAAAGCGTAAGGAAGAAACTGGACACAGGACAGGTCTCTAGCAAATATGGAGGCTGGGTGAGGGGCACTCATGCCTCAGAGGGTCTGGTGGCCTTGGCCCTCCCTTCCTGTCACTGCCTCTACCCTGATGCCCCGGGCAGGGCTGGGGAGGGCTCTGGGCCAGCCCCAGGAAGGACAGCTCAGGCAGTGCATCGCCCCTGCACTCCCTCGCTTCCGGAGGAGGAGCAGCTTCAGTCTGAGGCTAGAGCTGGAGAGTTGGGAGATACAAGAGGCTTCATTTTCTGCATTAATAATCCACCCCCAACCTCTACACCCCAACTCTCATCTATATCCACATAGGAGCTGACCTGATTGGGTGGCCCCCTAAAGGCCCCCGAGTCCAGGTTCCCAGCCCCCTCCCCACCACTCCCTCCCTGCTAGAAGATACCCAGGGCTTTGGGACATCTAGATCTTTGTGGCCATATCGGGCTCATCGCAGACAGTCAGACACAGAATCTGCAAAATGCATAAAAATGCACACGGGCCAAGCTCAAAGCTCAGGAAAAGGCGCAAGCACTACAGATGTGGTAAAAACTCAGGGTTGTCCAGGTCTGCCCTGCATGCACTCCGTCTCCACCAGTACTGCCAGCTGTGTGACCAAGGTGAGTCCCTTAACCTCTGTGTGCTGGTTTTCTCTAGTCAAAGGTGTTAGGTCGGTGAGTGGCTTTTGGACCCTCCAGCCTGCTGTTGCTTCTTTGAACGCAGCTTCACCAAACCCTAGCTAGCATCTGTCGGTGACAGGCCCTAGCTTGATGGGCTTCCGGCATGACTGTTTTCCCTTCGACCGCCTCCGTCAAGCCTCTTCCTGTTCCTTCTTGCCACCATGGTGCACATCCTCCCGTCTCTCATTTCTCTATTTTGGTTTTGAGCCACAGTCTAAAGGACCCAGACACAGGGTCTGCTCTTTTCTGGGTTTGCCCTGGCTTGCGTCTGGGACTCCATCCTCAGTCTTGGGAGCAGGAAATAGGGAGTGGGAAAGGGTGCAGTGTCTTCACTACCTGGGCTGGCAATGCCCTGGGTCTTGCAGGGTGTTCACATGTGGTCTGCTTGGGGGCTGCAGGACCCTCCGCCCCTGGTGCTGTGAGGTCAGGCCTTTGGGAGGGGTTCTGGCCTTATAACTGGGATCCACCCATTCTTGCCTGCCCCCCATCCCCTCCCCCCCCTTTTGCATCCTCTTTCCTGCTGCAGCCACATAAGGGCAGGTCAGCAAGCACTCTGCATAAGGAGATGGCCCCCAAGACAGGGGTAGGGGTGTGCTCCCCCTTCTTAGGGGCACCTGACACAGCACTTGGCTCCAGTGGCAGCCCCACCACTGGTGCCAGTCGGATTCCACCCTCCAGAGGGAGGTGCAGGGGGTGAAAACCATTTTTCCTGGGCCATACTTCCCCTGTGGGTGACCCTACACTGTTACTACACCTTGGAGAACATGCAAAGCTTATTAACAAATTCTTCAGCACTGGCTCCACTCCCAGCCAGTCAATGTGGCTGCCTGAGGGTGGGTGGGTCTGAGCCTTTTTGACTCCTGAGGTGGTGGTAAGACAACCAGAGCTCTGAACCACTTCCCAGCACCCAGAAATACTTGCCAAGCGATGAGGGCGGAGCTGTTTCTTGCACTGTGGCCCAGAACAGTCTCTGCCCCCATTTATCAGGTGCTAGGGAGACTAAAGACCATAGTGCCTTTAGTTTTGTGGCTTTAGATACGATTGGAAGGTAAAAGGGGAGTCCCCGCTCAACACCCCATCTCAGCAGCCAACACTGTCTTCATGGGAAAGCTGGCCAGAGCCCCCACATTACTGGGTCAGAGCTGGAGGGTCTGGGGCCACTGGTGGGGAGCCAGGGCTCTGCCTACAGCTTGGGAAGCCCCTGAGTAATGTAGACACTTGGGTCCTTGCAGCTCACTCAGGTCCTTGCAGCTCACTCTCAGAACCTTCTGCTGCTGCTAGACCCAAGGGGTGGGAGTGGAGATGGCACAGGCGATCCAGGGAAGCAGGCTGGGGGGTGCCATTACACGTGGAGGGAGAGTCAGGTAGGCCAGGAGATGCTGGCATAAGGGGACTGCTGGACCTTACCTCCCAGCAATGTGTCTCCTCCATGTGCCCCCCCCCAAGCAGGGGGAAGAAGAGAGGCAGTGGCCTCAGGACCTGCAGCCGCCACCCCCTCCAGGGCCACACACGGCAGGACAAGAGGACAAAGCCGGCGGAGATGAGAGGCCCACCACGGAGCCCCTCTACAAGGTCCTGGACACGCCTCTGAGCGAGGGCGACGAGCCCAGCACACTGCCGGCCCAGCGGGACCGCGGGCACAGCGTGCAGATGGAGGGCTACCTGGGCCGCAAGCACGACCTGGAGGGGCCCCACAAGAAGGCATCCAACAGGTGCGGGGCGGAGGGGGTCGGGAGGTGGCCCCTCTGCTTTGGGCTGAGAGCTTCTGGTCCCGCCCGGACGGCCGTGGACTTCCCCCCAGGATGGGAAAATGGTTTTCCATCCCCTTAGCTCCTGTGTTCACACCGGCGCACAAGTCACTCAGTTTAACTTCCACATTTGCAAAACAGGTGTGGTAAGAATATTACGCCTCCTCAGTGGAGGCCATGCCTCACACAGGGTGGGAACTCGGTGAGCACCGTCCTAGGGCTGTGTATCAGGTAAGTGGGTGTTGGCACTAACAACCTCTCTTTGGCCAAGTACCACTTTTTACCCAACTTGGGATCAGTTTCTCTAGTTGTAAGAGAGGAAGAGTGGAGTTGCCTGACTCCTTCCAGGGGGTGCTGCCATCGATGACTGTGACCCTGCGGGCTCATTCAGAGGCTGTCCTTTCCCGCCACGCTCGGGTGGTCTCTCCAGGGCTGCTGCTGCCCGGAGTCTCTAGGGTAACAGCCCAGAGTGCCAGGAGACAGGGCAGCATCAAAAGGTTGAAGCCAGCCAGTCCTGGGACCTCCAAAACCATCTCAAGTTCCAGAAGCAGCCTGGGGGGCCCAACAGCCTTGCAGCCACTCGTTGCCTACATGAAGCCCAGAGGGAAAGGGAGACTAGCACTCACCGAGCACCTGCTGTGTGCCAGCATCATGTTAGGATTAATAAAATCTCTGGCATCTCCCCTGAGGGACTGAGGTTTGCATTTTTCAATCTGGAAATAGAGTCTCAGAGAGGTCAAGTCATTTGCCAACCCCAGTTCCTCCGCAGGGACGGCCATGAGCAGGCCACAGGGGGTCGGGGTCGGGGGAGAAGTCCGGAGTGGCGCTGCGAAACGGCTGTGCAGCCAGCTTCACAGTCAGTCCTCTCTCTGCCCTTCAGCCGCCCTTCAGCCTTCCTCCCCATGTGCCCTGCTGGCTGTCCAGCTCCCTGCCCTCCAAAGTGGGGAGGGGGCACAGAGGAGGGAGGCAGGAGAGGAAGAAGAGCTTAGTGCTTGTTATTCATTGCGAGGCCACAGCGCGTTGCACGTTAAGCTTGTCCTCACCAAACACCCTAGTTGACATGAGCCTTGATTTGCAAAAATGTCTGCATGGTGCTGGTACCATGTACTGAGCACATGTCAGCAAAACCACGACAAAGCCCTGCTCCGCCTCCAGGACCGCAGAGATGAGCAGACACTGACGGGAGTACTTTGAAGCTTACACTGTTAGTTTTAGAGAATGTCTCATGGTAAGATCAACATTGGAGGCAAAGACTAATGCACAAGAACATTTATCAAATCACTCCACTGTAGACGGATTTCCCGGTAGCAAAAGACCCACCAGAAAGGGGTTCGTTTTATATAGCTATTTGGAATTATTTTCAAAAAATAATTTGAGAATATGAGGGCCCAAAATCGAATACACAGTATAATCCAATTTTAGCAATAGGAAACAAATGTCTGAACAGAAAAAAATCATGATGCTAATAACAGCCTTTGGTGGTAGAATTACATGCAAGTAGAATTACATGGAAACAAGTTTATTCCTATTTTTTCAAATGGTAAAATGTGTTGCTGTTTATCCAGACAAAGATGTTGTAATGAAAAAGTCAGGCTGCAGGATTTGCTTACAGAGGTGCTGATCAAGACTGGGTGACCTGCCTGTCTGCTTCTTGCAGGTCCTGGAACAACCTGTACTGTGTGCTCAGGAACAGCCAGCTGACCTTCTACAAGGACGCCAAGAACCTGGCGCTGGGGGTGCCCTACCACGGGGAGGAGCCCTTGGCCCTGAGACATGCCGTCTGCGAGGTTGCTGCCAACTACAAGAAGAAGAAGCACGTGTTCAAGCTGAGGTGAGGCCCCGCTGCCGGCCCTGGCACCACACGTGGCCAGACACAGGCCCACATCTGGGGCCAGCTCCAGGCTGGGTTAGCCACGGGGATTTTCCAATGAGGCCAGTGGTCCAAATGTGTCCCTCTCTCCTCAGGTGAGCTACCTGAGAGGGCTGTGGTCAGGCGGAGGCGGAGGGGGCTGGGGGTTGGGCAGTCCCTGCCCGGGCCCGGGGCTCCAGACAGGTCCCATGTCAGGAAACCTGTGTCCTCCTAGGCTGAGCAACGGCAGCGAGTGGCTCTTCCACGGCAAAGACGAGGTGAGTCCAGGGCCGCCTCGCCTGCAACAGAGGGCCACTGACCTCAGGCTCCCCCAGACTGGGCAGTCCTAGGGTGGGCGGGAGGTGGGCCGCGGGGCCCTGACCCTCCTGCCCTGCAGGAGGAGATGTTGTCGTGGCTGCAGGGCGTGAGCACCGCCATCAACGAGGCCCAGAGCATTCGCGTCAAGGCGCAGAGCCTGCCCCTGCCCTCCATCATGGGCCCAGACGCCAGCCTTGGCAAGAAAGACAAGGAGAAGAGATTCAGCTTCTTCCCCAAAAAGAAGTAGCCTCCTGTGGCACCCCGCAGGTGGGGCCTGGCGGTGGGTGCCGCAGGGACAATGCGCCCACTCTGGAAGGGACCGGCCCGGTCCTCCTCCTGCCCACCTCCCAGGCTGCCCACTGCCTGCCGCCTGCCTGCTCCGTGTTGTCGGGCCGGGCCCTGGGCCCACGCTGCACTGCAATAGCTGCCTTTGCCCGCCGCCCGACTGGCCCACACCTGCCCCTGCCCTCCGCCGCGCCGCCTGGCTCCCTGCAGAGGGCGCTCAGAGCTCCAGGGACAGTGGCCCCAGGGCCTGGGGATGGAAACGGTTCTCCTAGGTCTACGCCCTGCCACAGGGCTGAGGCACACCGACCCCACCCCCCACCCCCAAGCCTCAGAAAACTGGAGAAGATTCATGAGGTTCCTCTGACGCGGCTGCTCCCTGTGTTGGGCTGGCCTGCCGCTTGGGACAGGTAGATGTTGGAGGTGCCTGGCCAGTCCTTAGGGGCATGAGGAGGAGTCTTCGGGAGGCCTACAGAGCCCTAGCTCTGGACAAGGCCAGCTGGGGACCTCTCAGAAACCCCTCTCCCCTGGGCTCCCTTAAACTGGGACTCACCTCAGGGGCACACCCCTCCTGTTCTCCTCTCACCTAAAAGGGGGAGGGACCCCGCCAAGGTCTGTGGGTCCTACTTGGCCACAGGCTGCCCCCACCACCCTGTACTACCACCGCAGGCGGTAGAAGGGTGAGTGAGCTCTCAAGCTGATCCTCTTTTAAAGTTACAGGTAGAACTTCGGGCTCAGGCCTGACCGAAGGAGGTAGGTAGGTCTCCACACTGCCCAAGGCTCTGCCTCTCCAATCTGGGACACCCCTCCCCCCCACTCCCAGGAGCTGCCAAACCAACAATATCCACCTCACACCCAGGGCCTCATAGGGAGATGATGTGGGACCCAGATACAAGATGGATGCACTGGAGCAAAGCACCCCAAAGCCAAATGCCCAGCGGTGCCGTCTGCAGCCAGTCCCATATGAGGGTAGTGGCTGGACAGACAGCAGAGTCTGTGACCCTGAGGGGGCAAGCGAGGCCCACACCCGAGTCAGTGCAGGGCCAGTGTCTAGAAGCCTGGACCCCTTAGTCGGCTTCTCTTGAACATCCTGACCTCGGGTACCAGTCACCAAACATCTCCCCCACCAGCCCCAAGCCCACCCAACGGGGGACCTGCCACCTGCATCCCCAGAGGGAGACTTCCCTGTGCTGCCGGGAAGAGCCCACCAGTCCACAGGTGTTCCCCATGATTTCTGAAAGCAATACAACTCTAGCCCGGCCTCTTAACTAGGGTTAAGTTCAAAAGAGGGCTGAAACTGGGCGGCAGGCGTTTCCCCTGGGGCCTGCAACTTGTTTCCATCACCTTCCTCACAGGAAGGTGCCTTCAACACACCAAGCTGATTCCCTGCAAATGAGTGAGGCTCAGGTAGGAATGGGGGGGGACAAGTAAGGCACTGAGTGAATAGGTCTTCCCAGAAGCCCCTCAGTACAGCCACCTTCAGCAGGCAAAAATCACAGGGCCAAGTTCTCCTATGGAGCCTGACTTCCCCAGATAAGGGGGGGCCCTCTGTAGCCAGGGTCTTCACTTGGCCTGTGCATCAAACCCTACAGCCCTCTTTGCATCTACAGGGAATCTAGAAGCTACGACTCACCAGCCTCTTTCTATACCTGGGGTAATCAAGGCAGGAAGCAGGGTGCCAGTATACTCAGCTGGCTCGAAGGAGGCCCCTGACGCAGCCGAGGGCCTGTCCTGCTCCCAGGCAGAGAGCAAGTTTCTCACTGAGAGCAGATAGTGGTAAAAGTCTCCCTCACTTAGTGCCCTGGCCAGGCTTCAGGGAGCCCAGGGTCACCCTCCCCCTCCATGTGTGCCAAAGTAGCACCTAAGGTGAGGAATCTCCAGCAAGCAGCTCCAGACCCCAGAATGGAAGGGACCCACAGAGCGAGGATCTCACCACTCCGAGCCCCCAGATGGGCAAGGGCGGCCGGCTGCATGTGACCCGCCGTCTAGTGCGCCCCCCCGCCCCCCCGCATCCTCCCCACAGGCCCGAGACACTCAGCAGATGGACGAACTGCAGGCTCCCAGCTTCAGAGGGCTCCTGTGCCGCGCTGGGTCACCCGGTGCCCCACAAGGTTTCTCATTTTCCTCCTGACACTTTCTACTTTGCAGCCTTGTAACAGTATCCCAAAACAGGCTGCCACAGCTCCAGTCCACACCAGCATACGAGGCTTCCTCCCAGGGCGGCTGGGGGAAGCTGGACACGGTCGGTCGGTCCTCCTGCCCTCTCCTTCCCCTCAACCATGGCCTCAACTGAGTCTGGCTGGGCGTCCTTGGGCTTCCCTCCCCCAAGTCCCCACAGCAGGGGACTTGTGGAAGGTGCAGCTTCCCACACACGACTCCTTCCTGCCTCTTGGAGGGCGACTAGGGTCCCCGGAGCTGGTCCTGGCCCTTCAGTGTTAGGGGGCAGAGACCCAGAGGGCTACATGGCTCAGTCCCCAGGACAAGCAAGCTCAGGGAGGACACAAGCGAGGAGGTGGCTGCAGAGGACTGCAGCCCTGGCGGGCACAGACCATGCAATCTGGGGCTGGCCCCGGGGCCGGCTGGGCCTTGTCCTCCACCTGCTCAAATGTGCTTCCACCAACCAGAGGAGCCCATTGACTAGTTTTTCTAATAAATCAATTAACGCTCTATATGTGTTTCTTACTTGATTAGCCTTGTTTTCCTTTGAATTGGGCTGAGGGGGTGGGGTCTGCAAGACTACCATGTGTCAAGAGAGCCATACCCTGACCGGGCCCTGGGAGTCGGAGACATCTCTGACAGCTCCCGGCCCCATACCTCCCCACCCGAGACCTGCGTTCGGCCAGGTTGAGGGTCTGTTGCAGGCCTCTTTCTCCATGGGGTTCAGGACAAAGAACTCAGCCCTGCCTGAAGCTCCGCACACCAGAAATGCCACGCCAGGTACTGTGGCCCAGAGGGGTGGTGTCCTTCGGTGTGGGTGAGGGCATCACCAGTTTTAACGGCCCCCTACCCCCCCCACCCCGTGACTAATGAACACCCTGTGAGAAACACTGAGCTGTTCCCAGGGCCCAGACCTACCTCGAGGTGCCTAAGGCTCACCTGGGGCAAGAACGGCCTCCGAAGACTGAGTCAGGAAGCTGGAGAAGCAGTGACTCATGCCTCTCCTTCAATTTTCAGCTGAGGAAAGAGCAGTCTAGGTGACCCCGCTAGTGACCCGGCCCACGCCACTGCAGCCACCTAGCGTGACGTCCTGAGACCCGCCTGCTGGAGCAGCCCTCCTCGCCACTGCGGATGTGAGCGCTGCCCGGCCGAGGAACAGGAGCCAGCCCGCCCTGCCTGCCTCCGCTCACCTCTCTCCCCACTCCTAGACCCAGCAGGTCAGACTTGCGGGACCTGCCCCAGCAGCCACACGACACGTGTGGGGCGGCTCTACCTCCCGGGACCCTAGCCCCACTAGGCCCAGATGCAGCCAGGAGAAACGGTAAAACAAGGCCGCACGCCATGGAGAACGGGCAGAGTGCGAGTAGAAACAACAGCCCCTTTGGTCTCCGACACTTTCACGGATGGGAGGAAAACAGAGAATCAATTCCAGAAAAAATTCACTTATGCCCCTCAGCTGACACTGGTGGCCACCTTGAGACATTTTAGGTAGCTCTTACCTGTAGCTAGGATGTCTCCGGAAGGGCAAGAAGTACAAGGTACCCGATATTGGAAACTTGCGCTTATTACAAAAAGGTTCCAGTCGCTGCCCCTCTTGCTCCTCCGCCTTTCTGAGCCTGACTTTGGCCTTTGGGGCAAGGAACTAAATGCTGGCTCAGTGACAGGATGCCGGGCTGGGGTGGACAGAAGTCCTCGGAGCAGCTGGTAGCACGTGGTGGAAGTTCCCTCCACTGCCCTGGGCTCCCATGAGCCACCCAGGGCTTCATGTGAACATGAATTACAAGTGGGACAGGGAAGCCACCACCCCCACGTCCCATCTCCACCAAGACATCCCTGGCTGCGCTCCACCCTCCCACCCCACCAGGCCCAGGAAGGAGGCCACACACAGGTCGTTTGGTCAGCAGTGGTTATTGCACCATTGGCAAATAATGAAATGTGTGTACATTAGCGACGCCCACAGGGTCAGCGAGGCAACCCACGAAAGTACCTGAACAGGGTCCTGTACATTCTTCACAGGAGGGGAATCAACAAAAACACACACATACACATACAAACATACCACAGAATGGAAAGCAATAAATTATGGGCCTCGTTTCTGCCTGGAGCCTAAGAAAAGGCAGTTAAAAAGCAAAGCCTCCCAGACCACCTTCCTGCGCCTCCCGGGGTGGGCGCCTGCAGTGGCCAGCCCGCTGGGGCTGGGCTTGCTCCCTGGGAAGAGGTGAGCTTAAATATTTGGCTTCTTACCAGGGAGAACTATATACAAGGAAAGCGGCCATGCTGGCCTCAGAGGGGCGGGCCGGTGGAGGGTCACCTTGAACCAGGGGAGCACTAGCGTTCTCACGACGCAGGTGAAGACCCTTGCCCAGTACAGCGGAACCCTCTTCAGGGGGAAACAGGTGAGAGTCTTTTCATGAGCCCTGGGAGGGATGTCTGTGAGCAGGGGGAGCCCAGGCTTGAGGGAAATAAGCCGAGCTTCCTCCCCACCCCACAGACTGTTCCTCCTATCCCAGGACCGAGTCAGCCCACGGAGTTCAAGGCCTGGAATTTCTCCCTCAGGTTCCTCACGCGGCCTTGCTGGCTTGGGTCCACTTGGTCCCTGGGACCCTCTTCCTTTGGCAGGCACTCTGCAGACTGCTGGAAGTCCTTGCCCTGCCCCTGCATGGCCACAGGCAAACGTGGGCCCCGCCTGCTACCCTCCTGCAGCTCCACTGCCGTGGGGCCTGGCAGCAGCCCCTTCTCTATGACAATCACCCTCTGGTTGTCCTCCAGAGTGAGGTCAGCAGTGACATACAGGTCCTCCTCTCCATTAGGCATGCCTTGGGGTAACTCCCCAGCAGGCTGCGACGGGGCTGCCTCCTGGTGCTGGCCCCTCTTGGCGCTCAGGCTGCAGCAGCGGCCCACCCTGCCCGACAGAGGTGGCTCCACCATGTTCTCTGGCGCCGAGCGGCTCCGGTTGACAGGCGGTCCTCGGGGCCGGCCACCCTCGGCCTGGAGCGCCTCATCGTGGGAGGTGTACTTGGAGCACAGCTCTCGGACGTCAGGCCAGTTGAAGGTCTCGGTGTCCAAGGGACTGAGGGGGCTTCGGGTGGAGGGCCTGACTCCAGGCGAGGGGGTCCTTGGGCTGGCAGCAGCAGGGCTGAAGGAGAAACGCCGGGGTGACATCTCCCCTGCAGAACAGGACTTGTGAAGGCTGTGCTCCTGGGCCGCCAGCTGCTCGTAGTTGAAGAGCGACAACACTGGCTTTCTCTTACCTGTGAGGGGAGAGAGGAGGTGAGGGCTCTGAACTGTCTTCAACTCACTCTCCAGGCATGGCTGGCTGCTAGGGCTTTGGGCGTTGAATAAGAGAAAATGTTCAAAATAAGAACTCTCATTTACTGTGCATGGCCCCTTTACAGGAAGAATGGAGAAAAGGAGTCTCTTCCTTTGACTGATGAGAGCTCTTCCTTTGGAAGAGATGAGAGCTTCTGCTCTGTGGAAAGGAAGGAGGCATGGCCTCATTTCCTCAGAGGTCTCTGCTACACAGACAGGGGTGTACCAGGGCTGCGGGCACGGCCTGTTGAGGGGGTATTCCAGGGTCACTGCCTTTGGTGAGGGGCTCTAGCCTTCTCTTTGGCAGAGGCTCTTTAGGGGTCACTTTCCACCAGGAGCCAGGCGGCTCCTGAAAGGGTCTTCCTCCCCCAGACTTGTGGGCAGGGCCTCCTGCCTCCCCCCCACCACTGTACCTTTGTTCCCTGGTGCACCAGCTTCCTCCTGCAGGTGGGGACTGGAGGCGCTTTTCCCAGCCCTTTCAGGAGCATCCTTCTGCCACGGCAGCAGTGGCCTGGCTGACGCCGAACTGCTCTTGATCCTGAGGCTGTACTGGCGGGCCAGCTGGTAGACCTTGTTCTTGACTCGCTCGCTCACATGGCCATCAATCATGTGGGACAGCTGAACAATTCGGGGGTGCAACGGAGTCACCAGCTCCCCATGGGCACTGCTGCTCAGCTCCTTCACCAGCTCCTTCAGCTCCCGGGCCAGGTGGGCCGGACCGGACCTCTCAGTGGGGGATGCGCTCTCAGGAGAGGCCGTGGCTGACTCCTCGGTGATGGCACCCAGCTCATGCTCCTCCAGAATGAAGAGTGGCTCCTGCAGGTCAAAACCATTGGCCTGGCCTTGGTCTGGCCCCTTCCGAGGGCTCCCACCAGAAGATTCCATTCCCTCCCATATCTTCACGATTTCCGAAGATGGGCGGAACTCCGCATCAGTGATAGGAGCTGGGTCCTCAGTCCCTGCCTGATCTGGTCTTGGAAGGTCCAAGAGGGCCCACGAAGCTGGCCGGGAACCAAGCTGCCTCTTGGGCCCCAGCGGAGCTTTTGGCTCTGGAGCCGGCCTGGGAAGGTTATTGAACCTGGACACGGAGTTTCTCACCAGCCCTTTGGGGATGTAGGAAAGGCTCTCCCGGCGCCGGACACTGAAGCCCGCATCGTGGTGCTCTGCATTTTCATAGTAGCTCTTGATCTTGTCCAGCAACAGCCGGTCTCGGGTGGACAGCGTCGATTCCTTCTTCTTGCAAGAAGACCTGTCGGCCTCCACTGGGCAGCCTGGGCTTGGGGGTTCTGTCCCATTGACAGGAGAGCCGTTCTCTGTGGCCACCCCCACAGTCATGTCTGCTTCTGGGGGGAGCTGAGAACTGAGGGACTCTGTGGTGCCCCCACGCAGGGCCAGGCCCTTCTCGCTGCCTTCTAGGCTGAGCACGCTGCTGCTCCTGCTTGTCAGCCTCGGGGTGCCAAAGCCACTGGACTTGCCGTCCTCCAGCGCCAGGCTGCTCCTCCGAGAAAAGGTGCTAACAAACCGCTCGGCGATGACACTGGCCTGGTCCAGCACAGAGGGCGGCAGCAGGCTCTCCGGCTCCTGGGAGGCCCCCACTTCCTCCTCTTCCTCTTCACTGCTCAGAGGCTTAAGATCCTCAGCACTCTCTGCCACTATGAAGTCCACCATGTCACCTGGGTGGGCATCAAGCTGTGTTTGCAGGGCTTCGGGAGACTCTGTGTCTGAGAGCATCTCTTCAGTGCTGGCACCTTCCGCAGCAGCAAACACCTCTTGCTCTGTCCAGGGCTCCGGGTCAGGGTCAGCCTTTGGGCAGGAAGACAGCTTGTGTGAGCCAAAACCCTCCCTCGTGCAACCCAAGGGATGAGGACCACCGGCAGTGAGCACCAGCTGACTGAAGAGTGGGGTGCAGGTGCCTAAAGAGTGGGGTGCAGGCGCCTAAAGAGAGGAACGCGACAGGGTCCCTTTGGTCACCCTGAAGCTGGTGCTGGGCCCATGTCCTCCGAGCATAAATGGGGTGGAGAGATGGCGCTACTCAGGCGACCTGCACAGGAACTACAGGGACAGGTGGGAACATACAACACAGGGCCAGAGGCATGACACAGGCCTCCCTGCCCGCAGCAAGGCAGCTGCCTACAGCCCTAGAGGTTCCCACAGGAGGCTGTTGTATGTTCAAGCCCAGGTCTGGGCCGCGTGAGAGGCCATTCCAACGGCCCCTTTGGAATCCCAGCTGTGAAGTCCAGGCGCTTGCCCTGGCAGCCAGCCCCCACACCCTGGCATGACTGTGCATGCTGTGCCCAGGCAGATGCACGAGGAAAGAAGCGAATTTGAGAATTCCCTCTTGACCACCTTGAAATCATCTGACCATGAACGAGACTGGCATGGGCAGCTTTCCTGATGCTTTTTGGGAGATGGTCAAATACCATTTAGCAATCAGAGCTGATTCTATGTGTTTTAGTCCAGGATATGCAAAGGAAGACCCACGGTCTAGACCTGAGCTGGCCAGCACAGTAGCCACCAGCCACCCCTGGCCTTCAAGCACTGCGAATGTGCCCAGGCCAAACTGAGAACTGGTCGAAGGACCAGTGTATCTAATTAACGGTTTGTCACATCGATCACACGCTGAAATGAGGGTTTGGAGGTAATGAAGTTAAATAATTTTTAACGTGGCTATCAGCAAATTTGAAATCACACATGTGACTTGCCTTCTGTTCTCACTGGACACCTATCCAATGCCATCAAGTTTCTCAGTCTTGTCCTGGCTGGGCCCACCCTGGGGTCAAGACCTCACAGCCTCCTTGTAACTCCAGAAGCACAAAGGCTCCATGCACCTGACGCACAGGTGGCAGGTAACAGTGCCTGGGCTCCTGGCTCAGACCCAAGTCTGACCTCAGCTCTGCCCCTCAGGAGATGCCCAGTGTCCGGCACCCCCACCAGACCTCTGAGCCTCCTCCCTTCCACGACTATTATAGGGAACAGAAGAAAGAAGAGAAAGTCCAACATGTAGGTGGTGTCCGGTAGGTACCGATGCCCTCCCGCTTCACCCAGGTGGGCACAATGTAAATGTCTGGCAGCCTGGCCAAAGGGGCCTAAGGTATGAGTTACTTCCACCACACCCTGTTTCTGAGTCAGAGAAGGGGCTGTCTGTGCACCAAGCCGTGCGCACCATGGGCCAGACAGATTTCCTGAGGGGAAGGACCCACGCTCTGGGGGAATAGGGAATCTCTGCTCCCGTGGACCCAATGGAGAGCCTGTGCTTGAACCCCCCACCCCCACCCCCCGCAGGCTGGAGAACGGGATTTCAGGCACCCCTACACTGTCCCCTCTGACTACAGGCTACTCACCTCTGGCAGGGAAGACACAGACTCTAAGCTCAAGCGCTTCTCTTCACTGGCGCCCCGGCCGCTGGGCCGTCTGCGGCTCTTGGCACCTTCAGACTCCCTGCGCCCCTTTCCCTGCAGCGAGCAGAGGTAACAAGTCAGATCCTAGGCAACTGGGAACTGGCACCTAATGGGTCCCCACGTGGGTGGCACCTCTTGAGCCCTGAGGGGGCTGGGGTGCACTGAGAGCCAGCCTTGGCCGGAGCCATTCCGGAGTCCACACGAACTGCCGGGCCACAGAACCCTGCTGGCGCACAGCCTTGGACAAGCCAGCCCACTTGACCTCCTTCTGCCCCCTCCCACTGTCCCCCTACCCCTCCCGGCTCCCCCCCCCCCATTAGTCATGCTTTTTGGGTAGCTTAGCGCCCAGTGCTGGAACCACACATGCCTGGGGCTCACCAGGGCATGAAAGCGAGCAAGTGGTTAAGAAGTGCTGATGGCAGGAGTAAAAGACAGGATGGGGCAGGGGTGGGGTGCAAGAAGGGGCTCTCGGATGGGCATGCACGTGCCAGGGAGCATGCAAGGAGGAGGGGAGATCAAAGAGACACCTCACCATAGCGCCCCGGGAGAAAAGTAAAGCGTTGGCCCGATAGTGCCAGCAGTGGAGGGCGGCCAGCAGGGAGCTGGCAAAGTCGGCTACCTGCTCCGCCACTGCCAGGCTCTCCTCCTCCTCCTCCTCCTCCTCTGAGCCTGGGGGGTCCGGCCCAGGCCCCTTCATGCTGCCTTCATGCCCTGCCAGGGCCTCGAGAGAGACCTGAAAGGCCTGTTCCTCCTCCTCCTCCTCCACCATCTCCTCCTCCTCCTCCTCCTCCTCCTCGGCAGCCCCCTCAGCCTCCGACTGCAGTCCCCGAGTATGGGGGTGCTGCCCAAAGTCCAAGAGAGTGCCGGCACTGCCCGCATGCTGTCCAAGAGCACGAGACCACTGTGACGGGCCTCTGGGCCACCTCCCCCTCTCCCGGCCGCAGCCAGTGGAGCGGGGAGGCTTCAGAGAAAGTCACATATAGTCACCCACCCCGTGCCACAGGGGTCCAGTGAGGGAACCGGGGAGTGCGGGGGAGGCACAGGGTAGGTCCCAAGGTGGGAAGCTAGGACCAGCACCTGGCTAGGAACTCTAGCCCAGAGAGGGAGAAGGAGAGGGCCTAGGTCGGGTAGAAACTACCAGGTACCACTCCAAGGAACGGGCGTGGAAGGGTCCCCAGGGGCAAGGGCCATGACTGATTCATCTGCCTGGCCCTCATGGCAGAGCCTAGCACACTGCACGTGACTGCCAGGTAGATGTTGAAGGACTATGGACAATGAGAGCTCAGGGGCTGGCCGGGAGGTCCCACCCATCTCTGCTCGGTCAGCCTCCTCGCCCACCAGCCTTACCTTCATTCCGGCTGCTCTGGTTGCTGCCACCACCAAGGGTCCCAGCGCATGGGCAAGGGCATGGAGAGGGGAGGGGGGAGGAGAGAGGAGGGAGAGTCAAAAGCCAGAGAAAGAGCCCAGAGGCCCCTGGGGAAGGTCTCACCAGGGGCTCTGAATCTTCTGTCTCCTGGGGAGGGGCGATACCAAATGGCACAGGTATCACTCCTGTTTGCTCCTCCTGTTACTGAACACCAGGTACAAGGTGTGTGCAGGGTGGGGAGCCTCAAGTCCCTGCCCAGACAGCAAGAGGTGAAGTGTATTCAAGGGAAGAACAGAGGCAGAGTCCCCCTTAAAACGGTCCTTTACACCCCACCCACGTGCTCCCTTCTTCACTTCCCACCCACCCCTCACACACTCACCTTTCTCGCTGAGTTGCCGAAGCAGGTGTCTGGCGGGCTCTGAGGAGCAAAGAGGTTGGGTAGAGTCAGAGCAGTTCTCAACACAACCATGCAGGCCCCATGCTCGCAGAACCACTGGCCCGTCACCAGCTCAAAGTCCACTCTGGCCTGGAGGGCCGGGCGCCCTCACACGGCCTGGGTCACTCCCACCCTGCCCTGGGACCTCGGGGACTGGCAGCCCCCAGGAGCAGCCCTGCCCACATGCCTTGCGTCACACCCGAGCCTTGGCCCATCCCCTTCCCCCCCAAGCAGCCTCGTGTCGGGAGGGCCCTGGTTCCACCTCAAGCAGGCTGCCCCTCCCTGAAGGGAGCACATCAGCACATTAGCTGCGCCCAACACCAAGCCCCCCCCAGCAGCCAGGCTGGAAAGCAGAGGTCGCACCAGACTTTCTACGGCCCTTAAGGCCTGGCACCATGAAGCCTCGCTGCCCGCAGGGGAGTGTGGCCCGGCTGTGCAGGGACTGACCAGGCTCTGGGGACAGGATAAAAAACATCCGTTAGGCCTGTGGTGTCACCACCTGGTACCCCAGCCCTTTTAGAGACAGACCTGAGACAAGCAGGCAGGGTGAGAGGATAATGCCTTAAGGGACCTGTCTGTAGCGCTTGGACTACCCCATCCTTGTCCCTAAGGGGGAGCCCACTATAAAGGAGGGAAACTCCTCCAGAGGCCTTAGCTGTTCCTGGGCAGGGTGGCAGATTGCAGAACTTAGTTCCCCGAAAAGCGCACGCTTCAGTGTACTCATGTTCTTTGCGCACAATTAAGTAAACAGTTTTTAAAATGAGAAATAGAAGCTGCTCTATTCTTTCATTTCAAGACTTGTAATACAGAACACTAAGCAAGCGACGACTGATGACAATAGCGCCTTACTTATCCACAGTGTCCTTATGTGCCCACCTCAGCTTTCTGGAAGGAGGAGACAGAGATGGTCCAGAGGCCACCAGTGAAGATGGCCTGCACTGGCCCATCCTCTCTCCAGCAACATGCTGGCCTGCTCGGACACATGCTTCTCAAATCAGTTCAAACAATGATTTCTAGCAAATAGAGGAGGTGGGCAGGAGTGCTGGAGCAGGCAGGAACAACACTTTTCAGTGTAAAGATGGACACACGCCTGGAATGCCAGCTGTCCCTATGGCAACCACAGCCCTACCTGCCCTCGGGGCCTGGAGCCCCTAGCAGGGAGGCTGCCCCCAGGCAGGAAAAGGGGAAGTTGCAATGTGGTCGACCTCCTCTATCTTTAAAAGGCTCAAGAATATAAGCGTATTTTAGAAAGATGTCTGTTTTACAATGGTTACAACTGAACACACAAAAACAAGTAAAGCCCAAGTCTTCATGTTTACAGGCTAAGATCCAGTGGTGTGGATGGAATCTGTAGCCCTAAAGCGGCTCACTCCCACCGTGCCTGGCTGACACTCAGATGATGCCATGACAGGTGCCATCACCACTGCTGCCACCAGCACCATGGCTGGCACTTCCTAGACCCACCCATGCGCCAGCAGCTTCTGACTCAAGCTATGCAAGTTGATGGGGACAGCTGGTGGCACCAGGAGAAGAGAGGGGGGAAAACAACACAGACTTATAAAAGATCACACCCTACTTAGGCACTGGCCCCATAAAACTGCGAACACAGCAAGTCTGCCTAGGACTCGAGATTTATCGGGCTCTTACAAAACAAAATAAAAAACCATAAGCGCTATCTCCTAGAAGACCGAAGCCAATCTGATCAGTCCACACAGTTGTCGGACCCCCACAGCCATGGCCCATCACAGCCCAGTGCACCGCAGGGATCCCAGAGCCTCCCGTCACTCCCACATCTTCCTCCACAGCGGTAGCAGCTTCCTCCCTCAGGTAGCACTGACTCGGCTCCCCCTGGGGTATGAGGCTGAGATACCCTGCTTGAGCCCACCCTGCCCTGGGCCCTGGGCTGCAGGGCAGGTGAAAACAGACACAGCAACACACACGCAACCCCGCGGGAGCTAAGAATAGACACCATGTTTTCTCTCCTTAAATAGACGATTCATTCTACCAAGTCCACGGTAGCAAGGCCAGTCATGGAAGAAAACAACCCGGGAGAGGAAAATGGAACTTTTCCCTGAGACCTAAAGTAAATATTTCCCGTCTGGATTTGGTGCCACTTGAAGTCTAACTTGTTTTCCTCACATCCTACTTCTGCACCACTGTTCCAGATCCTGGCTGAACATCCATGATGTCCAAGCATTTTTCCTGGCTGAGTCCAAACTCTGAGTGTCCAGAAAGGAGTTAAGAGGGGTGCCACGGCCTGCATGAACAGCATTCCTCGGGTCTTGGGGAAGGTGGCTGGGCATGAAGGGCCTGGTGGGGGCAGCACCAGCACAGGGGACCGTGCCCCAGCCACTGCCGCCTCCAGCCCTGGCCAGGAGTCCCCTCGAGGTGAGAGCCAGCCCCTGGGGTGGCTGCAGGGGATCCCCACCTATACAGTCAAGGCCCTACGAAGAGGCAGAGACGTCTCCGGACCACACACAGCCCTTCATTTACCAGACTTCCGGCGCCCCTGGCGCATGTGGCTGGACACCTCGTCCTGCGAGGACCAGGCTTTCTTCAGCCGCTCTGGACTGTAGCGGTACCGGTTGGGATCTGCACCAGGAGGGAGACAATCAGGCTTTTGCAGTAACACCAGCCTTGGCCAGGACTCTGAGCACGTACCCAGCCACACCTCTGCTCCCCACCCAGCTCCAGGGACCGGAGCTCCAGAGCACCCTCCTCCTCTTCCATCCCGGAATGTGCAGGCCAAGTCCCACCCTGGAATAAAAGCACTAGGCAAAGCTTTCCGCACGTGCAGCCCGGCCTGCGAAAGTACACAATGAGGATAAAACAGAGCGAAAGGAAATACTTACAGTAGGAATCCATTTCCAAGATGGCTTCCTTGGCCTGGAAGAGAAGGAAACCAGCTAGTTAGCACCTGGCTGTGAGTCCTCTGCTTCCCTCAGCCCATGGGCTCACTCTCGCCAGACAGGGACACCCCACTGAGGCCTGTGGCTGTCCAGTGAAAACCACATCCAGAAGTTGAAGCCCCAGAGGGGCTCTGAGCGGTACCCCCACCCTGTACCCCACCCAAGCCAGGTGTGGGGGCACCCAGGAACTCACCTTCTGGGGGATGGTGGTATGGTGGTTCTCTAAGATGAGCCTCTTGATGTGATGAGTCCAGTTGCGTTTTTCCTCCACTGTTCTGGCCTAAGTGGACCAAGGGAGAGGGAGTTTATTATCACAGGCCTGAAGCCACCAGTGGGGAGCAGAGTGGAGGCAGAAGTAGACAGAGGGGCTGTGCTGAGGTTTTCTTAACTCCTCAGGCAGGAGACGCTCAAGGGGTTCCCCCAAGGATCCCACCTTCCAGAGGGCGACAGTGAGCCTAGGAGAGCTGAGGAGGCAAGTCCAGCCCCGGCAGCTCCTTGGCCCACCCTACGCACCTGGATGTTGTACTGCTGCTTGCTGTGCTTGTAGTGGGTGACAGTGAAGCACAGGGAGTCTCTGGTGCTCTCAATCAGCATCAGGGAGGAGCACTGCACATAGGAGAGGGCAGTCAAGCACAAGATGGGGTCACATACCTATGCGCAGGGGCCCCTGAGACTTTCTGGGGAGGCAGAAAGACTCATCTCAGGATGGAGCTGCGTCCACACCAGCCAGGGCCCGATGAAGAAGACAGGAGAGAAGCCCAGGCCACTGAGAAGCGGGGGGCAGGTGGGGGGCTGGAGAGGAGGCGGCACAGGAGACAGCAGCAGCCTCGTTACCGGGATGTGACTCTTGTAGACAAAGTGATCGCCCCGCTTCTTGGTGATAAGCAGCGCTTTGTCAAAGAGGAAGAAGGTCCTCTCGTTGCGCACGCGATGTACTCGGAACGTGCCCTCCAGGACGAGCTCCCCGTAGATGGTCAGGTCTGGCCCCTTCCAGTTGATAAGCAGGGACTGAATCTCCTGCAGCAGAGAAGCCCCGACCCCCAGGACAAGGTTATCCATGGTCCTACTGGGCCCCAAGAAGCTCCCCAGACCCAGCCACCACCCGGGTCCCCCACACACATGCTGCTACAGGGCTCCCCCCCGCCCCAGAGGAGCCCTCCCCTCAAGAAACTACCACGCAGCTCACCCCAGCAGAGCAGCCACGCGCCCCATCTCCCTGCTCAGCCTGACCCGACGTGTCCCGCCAGCCACCACCCCAGTGGCACCTGGAGCCGAACCGCATGCTCGTGCCTCCTCTTCATGTCATTGATGTACCAGGCCACACAGGTCATGGTGTCGATGGCATCCTCCACCACCTCGAAGCCGTCCTCCTCTTCATCAAAGTGTTTGGCGATTTCCTAGGCAGGAGACGGGGGCTTAGCCGCCCAGACTGAGAGCCCTGCCCCCACCCTCAGGCCCACCCATTCGGCACCACCCACTGGCTACCTGGAGCAGCAGGTGGTACTTGAGGATGCGCTGGACAGGCTTCAGCAGGTAGGATCCCAAGGGCAGCGAGTGCTGCAGCAGCTCCTGGCGCTCACGGAAGAACTTGGCCTGCTGCTTGTCCCGCATGCATTCCGTCAGGGCTGCCACTGAGCTGGGGGACAAGGGCCGTCACCACCTGGGGAGGCCTGGATGGGCAAGCGGGGCCTCCGAACTCACCAAAGGCTCTGCCTCCCCTCCATCCCATTACTCACTTGGGGTAGTTGTTGCAATACTGGGTGTAGATATCAAACTCTTGGCTCTACGGAGAGACCAAAAGGTGCTGTCAGGAGACTCCCATTTGACTGCCATCCTGGTGGTTCCAAACACAGGCCTGGCCCAGAGCACACTGCCACGCCCACCCTCCCAAGGGTCTGCAGATCTAGCTCCCACCACCTGCGTGGGGCACCCCACCTGCCTCCAGCCTGAGTCCATCCCAGAACCCCCCTTCCAGTCAAGGCCAGGTTCCCCAGGGCCCAAAAGTCCTCTTAAGCTGGGGGTTCCCGTCTCTGAGTCTCCAGCAAGGTAGGACAAGGAGCAAGAATTCAGCCCTTCTTACCCTCTCGACAAAGCAGCTGGCCACAGCCACTGGGTCGCTGTTGCAGCTGTCCAGATCTCTGAGTAACTGGCTGGGTGAGGGAGGGCGGCTGTCAGACCTCGCACTGCCTGAAGACGCTGCCACAGCCACCGACACGCCCCCTTCCCAGCTTCCTGGTGCCCAGACACACAGCAGCCCTGGTGTCATGCTGGAGTTGGGCTTCCACCCTCAGCGTGAGCCCTGCATATGGCAGCAACCACAGAAAGACGGGGCAAAGGAGACCCACGTGCTCAGCAAGCAGGACAGGGAGAGGGGACACCAGTACCCACCTCAGGAGGGGACACAGCTCCTCTGTGGGCAGGAGTCAAACACACAAAAGCAGAGATTAAAGGGAGTAGAGGAGAGTGGGGACTCAAAGGGAAACAAGGCCCCCAGTTCAGAAGAATGTGGGGAAGGGAGAGAGGAGGAGTCCCAGCACCCTTTGTACTTGGCTGGGGGCACTAGGCAACCCTAGAAACAGCACCCCCCTAATCCTCCTCTTTTCCCAGCCCCCACCCCACCCTGCCTAAGCCTACCTGCCCCCCAAAACACCTCCAGTGTGCACAGCAGGGACAGAAGTCCCTCTGCCCATCTTAAGGGGCCCGGGATAAGCTCTCTCCTGTCCTATCAACACTACCCCCCTCAAATTCTGCTCCTCTGGATTAGTACCTCTCCCTGGGGTGTTTGCAGTCCACTCTGGCCCTTGGGGAGCATTTCTGCCCTGAGGCACCCTCACCAGGCTTTGCTCCGCCTCCTCCACCTCATCTTGCCTCACCTATGCACCCCCCTAGTAGGTCGGGTCCCTTCTGACGAGCCCTGACTTCCCGTGGGGTCATTGGGAAGACGGAGAAGAAATTAAGAGATGAGCAAGTGAAGAATGAAGTCAAGAGGGACAAAGGGGAACCCGGAGGAAGAGCATCACGTGCAAGGGCTCTGTGGGAACACTGGCCCAGGTCAGCGCCCCCACAGACACGCCGCACACCACCCCCGAGTGGCGGAAGGACATCGCCTGAGACACATGGTCACGGCGGGCGCCCTCAGTCCGGCAGGCAGCTAAGTGACCCATCGCATGAGGTGGCCCATCCGTCCCACCCTCAGAGAGCAGGCTCTGGACCCACCTGACATGAGACCAGGGACATCCAGAGCACCTCCTGGCCCCAAGAGGGCCTCCCAGCAGCAATGAAGCGTGTTGGGGCCCTTCACATACCTGTTCAGTGCATAGATGCTTTCGATGTTCCCAAAGAGGGCACTGACTTGTTCTGGCGTCAGCAGTCCCGGTGTGTCGATGATCTTCAAGAGATAGTCCTGCACAGGGAGGCTCTCAGAGCCAGGCCCCTCCACCCCCCGCACGACACTGTGTCCCCACCTCCTCGAGCCACATCCTTTTTTCTACACGCCTTTTTACAGCAGAAAGATGGCATCACCTACTGCACTGGGCTGCACAGTGCCCCCTCTAAGTGCCCTGGGAACCACAGCGTGTGGCCTAAGAAATAGGCTCTTCACAGATGTGATCACTTAAAGCTCTGAGCCCACCCCAAACTGGACTGGGGGGGCCCAAGCCCAGTGACTGGTATCCTCCTAAGAGGTGAGGACAGAGACAGAGACCAGTGCGCTGTGAAGAGGGCGGAGATGGGGTGAAACGCCTGCGGCCGAGGCCACCCGCAAGCACCAGCAGCAAGGAGAGGCCGGGAGCGAGCTCTCCTACGGCAGCCGACCCTGCCAGCGCCTAGACTTCGGCCGCCTGACCCAGAGAACCGCCTCCATGCTCACAGCGCCTGCTCGGTGCCCAGACTACTACAGGAAGGGCGGTTCCTGCACAGCTTCAGGGAAGGCAGGAGACTGAGGGCTCCCGCTCTTCCAAGGGCAGCAGACAACTGACACAAGGGCGTTGGGGGAACTTTCCTTCGGGATTGAGGCAGGCTGATGCCCGAGGGCTGGGCGACCTGGTCAGCCCGGGAGGAGGTGAGCAGCCCTCTCCCCGCACCCCACACACACACCCTGCGCGCGCTCGGAGGCCCCAGCGGGGCGGGCCTCACCTCCACTATGCTGTGCAGGTCCTGCACATACATGCGCTCTGTCTCCACAATTTCCCGCACCACTCGGCCCAGGTAGCTGAGCTTATGCGTGGGTCCCGCTGCTGCCCGGCCATTGAAGGGGGAGAGGGGTCCCCTCATATTCAGCCAGCTGCTGGAGTTGTTGTTGCTGTTGGGGGCGAGCCGGCTGCGGGGAGAGCCTGCCCCATTCTCCCCTGAAGCCTCAGAGCAGCTGGGTTCCTCCATGGCACTGCGGCTGTCTCGGGAGGAACCAGATGAAGAAGAGGTGGAGGAGGTCAGGCTCACCGGCCGCGCCTGGCTGCCGTTTTGGCAGGAGGAGGCAGAGACGGGCATCCTGGCATCGCTGCCTGGCAGAGGCACCGCAGGGAGATTCTGCGACAGAAAGAGCAAAGGGTCACACCTCTGAGTCCTTGGGGAAAGTAAAAGGGTGGTTGGCAGGCACTAGGGAGGGGGCCAAGGGGGAGTTACTGTTTCAGGGGCACAGAGTTTCAGTTTTGCAAGAAAACATTGATGCATGGTATGACGTGGACGGCACTCAACAACGCTAAGCCACACCCTTAACCAAGGTGCACATGTAAATTTTACATTGTGCATATTTACCATGATGAAGAATGACTCTGAACCCCAAGAAGATCCCTTCCCTCAAACTCTATGAGCAGCAACTTGAGCAGAATGCCCAAGTAACATCCCTTCCCTACTCCCTACTCCCATCTCTTCCCCAGGGTGGAGGACAGACAGACCACATCCAAGGACAGTGGAGGGCTCAGAAACCCGGAGCCCCAGAAAAGCAGAGGAACAGCAACTCCGGCTCGGTGGTCAGACGCTACTCCCGTTGGGACCCCGAGTGCGGCCCCACTGCTGGGGGAGCACTCGGGCTCAGAGCCTCAGCTGCCCACCCCCTTGCCAAGGGCGTGTGATCTGGGCTAGGCACACTTCTGAGCATGATGCCTGGCACCGCACAAGTCAGGCTCCATCAGCTAATAATATGGTGAAGATAATGGCAGTTGTAAAAAAGCACTTTCCAAACGCCTGCATGTTGGAGCCTGTACTAAGGTCACCAAACAGGATCACGTGAAGCTCTGGCTCTCACAGTCTAGGACAGCACACATGCCAGAGGGCAATACTCTCCCTTGGGGTTGCAAAATCTCTGGGGCACCCATGGCTTCACCATGAACCAGACAACTGGCTACTGAGAGGGAAGGGAGAATGGTACAAAGGTAGCGTCCACTCTACTCCCTGCTCCTGCTCCCACCCCCAGTGCCTGACTCTCTGGCTCCCAGACACAGGAAATTCCCCTGAGCTGAGCCATGGTGAGTGTGCCCAGACACCCCTCAGCACAGCTAGCTAGTAACACACAGGAAGCTGCTCCCAGGTAAGGCAAACAGTCTGAGGTGGACTTCATTCCCACAGCAGATGGTTCAGCTCACAGGCTCCCGGGAACAGCAAGTCACAGGTGGGGCCGTGGCCTTCAGGAAGAACAGGGACGCTCCACCCCACCCAGAGGACAGGACTCCCCGACATCACTCTCCAGGATGTATCTGCTCCTTTCACAGGAAACAAGTTCCTGTGCTTCCTTCTCACCTCCACTGACCCGAAGTCCTCTATTCCTAGTTCTGGGGCTTAGAAGCTGCTAGGCCACAGGCCAGAACGACCAGAAGGAAGTATTATATGCCATCACCCAGTAGCCTTGAATTTGCCCCTGGGCCTTCTGTCCTCTGTCCCTCTATCAGCACCCCGGGCTCTGGCTTTTGCCAGTGCTGTCTCTGGACACAATACCTCCCCATCCACCCAGGGCTGTACCAACCCCCAACCTATGTTGCTTATACCCAATCCTCAGGTCTCAGGTTAGAAGCCATCCCCACTCTGCAAACTCCCAAGGAACGAAATGTGGGGGGCCTTCTACATTCTCCTACAGCACTCTAGGGCACCCACTGAGCGAGACTAATTTTGAGATCCCTGCCCTAAACTCCAAGTAATTTAAAGGCAGGGACAATCATGGAGTGATGGAGAACTAAGAAGTGCTTCTGAGCTCCCAGTCAGCCTGCACACCAGCACAGCAGGCCACTGCCAAGCAAACAGTCACTTGTATCTTGTCCCCTGGGGGCCAAGCACAGCTGAGGTCCTCTACAGGAGCCTCTTTATTTTGCAGATGAGGACACAGTGGCTGCACTGGAGCCAGTTCAGCCTTCCCCCTTCCGCCACACCCTCCCACCAGGTGCAAGACCAGGAGGGTTAACAGGACCATGCCTTACAGAGCCCCTTGGGGAATACAGCACGGCCACTTTGCCTCCATCCTCAAAAGAGCCCTTAAAATTAGTCAGCTGGGGGCCCTCCCTGGTGGCACAATGGGCTAGGACGCAGTACTGCAAGCTAGTGCAGCCGCTTCAGAGTGAGTTCACTCCCAGCCCCGGAGGTGACCCACATGGCGCAGGCAGACCTCTCCTGACCCGCCCATTGCTGAGGGGTCAGCAGTGTACTTTGTACATCTGCCTATTCTCCCCACTCTGTCTCTGGTGAATCCTCTCGCCACCTCTGTACCTCTGGCCTGTACCCCAGTTCTGTATGCATAAGTAAATCAATCTTTAAAAAAAAAATAGTCAGCTGGGTCTTTCAGCAGAGCCAGTCAGCTCAGCAACACACAAAGAAAGACAAAGAACCAAACTCAGCACAGACCCTCACCCCTCAGCCCCATGGGATGCCGGTGCCCTTCACATCATATTGCAAAGTGAGGTGCACCGCCACCCCCACCCCCACTGTTAGAACCAGGCAGAGACTTACAGCCTCAGACCTTTCCCAGACCCAACCTGGGGTCAGCTGACCCCTAAATGGAAAAGGCCCAAGTCCCAAGTGGGACTAAGCACCAGACCAGGTCACAGCCTGGGAGGATTAGTCACCACCCACATACACACTACTGGGGAGACTGCTTTCTAAAGTTACATTCTGAGGGTCACTCTTTGTGGACCCCATTGACATTGAATGGGGACACAAGCATGCTTGGACCGCAGGAACTAAAGCAATTTCTCTACTTGGAGAAATGTTCTCTGGCTTAACAGTTTGTCTGCTTACAAACCAAGCTCAAATTTTCAGAGTATGACCCATGCCTAAATCCTCCTGGGACGAAAACAAAGCATAAAGCCAACAGCCAAAATGTTCTAAGAGCAAGGCCTTGAGGTGGGTGCTGTTATCACCCTATTTTATGGGGGCAGAAACTGAGGCCACAGAAGTAGCCCACGCTAGAGCACAGGCACGTGGCTCCCGCCCTCCCTGGTGGATCTCACACCAGCAGCCGCATCTTAGGGCCAATCACAGCCCTGGAGGTCCTGGCTGTGCCTTAGCAGAAGCTGGGGTAAATGTAAAATGGGAAAGATCAGGACTCTGACATGATACTTTCACTTATTCTCCACTCCAATGGGGGCAAGAAAGGAGAGAGAAGAGACTGAGAATTAAGACCCCTATGGCTATTTCTAGGCAGGCTACTCTGTGACCTCTGGCTATTCATTCTCTTACTGGAACACAAGGTAAAGCGGGAAGCCAGGTCAAAGGGTCACAGGTCACAAAGGAGCAAATGAGGCAGCATACTAATGGACACTACCAGCACACCCCATTTGATACTGACCACAAAGAGACACCACACTCAGTGGGAGGGATTTCCAGTTCTCAAAGACTCCCACCGAGACAGCTAAGTGCCAGCTCTCCTGCCCCTGGGCAGAGGCAAACTTCTCTAAACTGAGCTTCACCCCAAAGCCAGGATTAGAACCCACATTTTCACACTCACCTCGGAAAACACTGTCATCTGGGAAAGCAGGATCCCAGGAGAGGGGTGACAGGCAGATCGCAGTGAAACCCACAATCCAGATGCCTATCCCGTCCTACACTTCCCCTGTTCCCCTGAGCAAAACACAGCTGTCAACCTCTTCTAGCTTTGACCGTAAATCAAACCAGTCAATCATTAGTAAGTGACCTGGCCTTCTAGGAAACTGTCCCACAGCCCACCCAGGAAGCCCCATTGACAAGGTCCCTTACATCCTTTCCTTGTGAAGGGCCCAGTTCAGACGGACAACTTTAAGGATCCAGGGGACAGAAGATGAAAAAGAGAGATGGCTTTCTCTAAACTTTCTAAATTTCAAAGATTTAACTTGTTAAAATATCTAAATTTTAACTTTCTCTAACGTTGAACACAGGATTTAAGCCCTTTCTCCACCCGTCCTCCCCAGGTGACGGCCCTACCTCCTGGTTACCTGCCCTGAATCTCCCCGGGGGCCATGAGGCGGGCAGGCCGCAGCAGGCCCCGGATTCCCAGCACAGCTGACTGGACCTAGTCCACCCTGTCTCCTCCCTCTGTGCTCAGCCCCATGTCCCCACGCTGACCTGTACCCCACCTAGAGCAGAAAAAACCACACTTCCCCAAACCTCAACAGGCCCCGTTTGTCTTCTTGCCTCTCATCCTGCCACGCAGGCAGCAGTGATCCCCTGCCTCTTCACAGAGGGCAGTCCCACAGGCCACACACGCAAAACCTTCCAGAGAACCTGGGAATTCCAGGGCTTAGCCATATTCCCTCTGGCACTCAGGCCCCCGCCAGTGGGCTCAGTAAGGAGAAGGCTGTGGAGGAGCAGGGCGACACCAGTTGGGGAGACCTCTTTGCCGGCGGCACTCGGGTCCCCAGAGCGGCGGGGTCCAGGTGCGGGGGCTGATGTCAGCCTCTCACCCACTGCCCTCCTGCCCACACCCAGCAAGCAGAAGCCTGACACTTCACACTGCTTGGCAGGCAGGGAGGAAAGGAGCAGGGGGTTCCCCAAGGCAACTGTTCCAACATCCACAGGCCCAGCGAGGGAAAGTGGAAGGATTTACTTGGTACCTGCACACAAGCTAAATCCTGCCCTTTCATCTCTCAACCACAAACGTTTCCAAGACATTCCAAAGGCTCTCCAAACCAGCACCATTTGCCCTTCCCCTGACATTCCCCTCTCAGCCGTCATTCAGGGCTTCCTCAGAGTCATTCAGGGCTTCCTCAGAGAGTACCTGAAGTTAGTACCAGACAACTACAGCTTTTCCAGACAAACAGGGAGGGAGCAACATGAACCTCCAGAAATCTCAGCTCAGATCCCGAGCTCACTGCTACTCAGCACCACCCCAGCCACACCACACTGCTCCCCAGCAGCCCCACCCAGGCCCTTCCCTAAGCAAGTGCTCCCTGGCACAGTGGGTGAGGGACGCCAAGGGGGGGTGGGGGAGGGTTGCCTCTCACTGACCCTCAGGCTTTCCCAGGAAGGGGAGGATTCCTGCCTGAGCGGGTCTGGCTCTTTGCCCCTTCCCCTGGCAAGCGGTTTTCTCACCTTGTCTCTACAGACCCTAGTACCTTAAGAAAGGAGAG